ATGGCGCCAATCGAGACTCTAAGCCAAAGCGGCGTCTTTTTGTCGGCCCTCAGTTGGAAATTGTATCAAGATGTTTTCGTATGAGTCGGAGCGCTGAATTAATAATAATGGCGACTCGGATGACGTTGACGATGTCGAGAAGTGAAAGAGAGTGGGATATGTTTATGGGGAAGGGGAATTCTTCTGCAGCAGAACGAGCCGCGTAAATGCCACTCAATTGTCTTTGCTGTTGGCTTGGGGTCTGTGTTTTAGCTAATTAGCAGCAACAGTTAGAGCCGCTTCAAAGCGGCGATTGGCAACATCAAAGAAAAGCCCCAAGACTCCGATACAAACCGAGTTGTGTTTGCGGCAAACAAGGGCAGGGCCTCTGCTTGTAGATTAGCCACTTATAAAACAGGCAGCCAAACTTTTCAATATTGAAAATTCACAATATAAGAAAAAGTTATGAAAAGTCACTAAACGGAAAAATACAAAATGATAATTGATGTCTCCCTTGAAATACATCCATCCCTATCTCCCCTTCTTTATTTGATTTATTCTGAATCACCATAATCCCAGCCACTCAATCACTACTAGAAACTTTCTCGCTCATTGTTTACCATCGCCTAATACGAATGCAAACAGAGCTCCGTGTTCATAGAAGACGATCATTGTATGTTTGCACTTAGAAGACGACGGACAAACAATAACCAGACCGTTCTGTAACAGCAAAATATCTAATTAAATATTTATCAGGGACTTCAATCTGAAGAGGGGCAAACGTATTACCTTATCGGGCAAGTGAAATCAAGATTATGGAGCACTATGCCCCAGAACAATGACTGGGTTTGTGTTTTCCTCGGGGGGAAAACAAATAATAACCGTAGTACTCAACTAAGATGATGCTTAAAAAGCAGGGGCCTCGCTAATGATCTGCTGAGCGGTCCGAGCACATTAAATAAAGCCGGCGACACTTTCGAGTAACCGCGATTCGGTAACGAAGACAAAAGTGGAGCAGCTCGAAGAGTTGACCAGCTGGAAAGCGGCATTGTAATTAATGTTCAACGTGACTTTAAATTAAAATTGTATTTCAGCCAAACGCGGCCTTTCGCCACGGCCTCCAATAGTGTGAAAATGAAAAATCGGCGTTGGAAAATCATCGTGCAGGGTGCAGGGTGCAGGGTGCAGGGGTGGTGGAGACGAGATGGTGTCAAGTCAAGCTCCGTTAGCTGCCGGCCACTGACACTAATGACATTCAAATTGTTGCGCCAAAAGAAGCCATAAAAATAAAGCAAGAAAACCCATGGAAAACAAATCAAAGCGCGACACCGAGAAAGTGCGACAACACTGGAAGAAATATTACTGAAGTGGTAGAGAATTCGGTTTTTCAAAATGGTATTCTAAAAGGGTGTTACTAAACAATCAAATTTTATTCGGCAACCATGATAAACAAAATTGTAGTTGTTAAACATTATTTGAATACGATATCTGAATGTTAAACCAAATATTGGGTAATGTCTTTTTCACTGTGCAACTTCCAGTCTCCGCTCTGCAGTCTGTAGTCCGAACCCGAATCTAAGTCCGAGTCCGAGTTTAAGCCGTGCAATTGAAAGTGTCGCCGTTTGCTTTGTGGGCGCTGATGTGCAGCCATCACTCACCGAGACCAACCCACCGAAGCACCTTCCACCTCCCACCTCCTACTTCACAGCACCACCACCCCCTCCCCATAACAGCTTAAGTCGTGGGTTGGCTCATAAATCGAGACGACGGCCATGCCATGCGCTTCAATGAATGCTTTTTTCTTCGTGTTACATGTATCCGCAAGATATCAGGCGCATTGGGTGACATGCCATGCCAAAGCATATGTACACGTCTGCCTCGGGCACTCCGGTTGTCGATTTCACTTGCCCAGTGTTGTGCAATGATCGAGGGGTTAATAGATGCCAATCAAGGGTGTTTGAACTATGGTTAAGTGCCAGTGACTGGAAAAGGATGCGGAAAGTCTAGTTTATTAATAATTTAACTATATTCCATTTTCTTAAAATTTCAGAAATTTTATATTATTTTGTTATTATACCGATTTCAAAAGAATTCAAGACCAAAGTGAATAGAAACTCTTTTCAAGTGCATTGTGTGCAAATCATTAGATATTTTTGGCGCAACATTGAAAATGAAGATCACAGACAAAAGGAAATACAAGCATACAAATGTTGCTATAGATTCCGTGATAAACCGATTGAAATGTACAAAATGCATACCCTTTTTGTTGTAGCCACGACTGCTATATCTTATTTGGCCCACTCATTTTTCGATTGCATTAATTGAAATATTTTTCAAGCGTGGCCAGAAAACAACAAAATGGAAAGTGAAGTGTGAAGTGAAGTCTCGAATGGGTTTTCAGCAGTGGTCTTTGTCTGTCGCTGTTGCCTTTCCAATCGCAGCAATGGCAATCTTGGTATGTTAGTACGTTAAACATACATAGCTGGGCAATTATCACGCTGCCGCGATCTGAGCATAGATCTTGAAAACATGCCCAACGCGAACTGTTCGACAATTCGACACGCAAAATTTTCAGTTCATTAACATTTCAATATCGATAAGGCCGAAATGCACTTTCGCTCCGCGGAGATACAATCAGGCAATCGGCAATTGAAATCGTACGAGTAGATCACTATCTGTATCTCGGAACGCCATTTGAATCTGTGAGTTACTGCGCGGCAGCGTCAGTTTGTGTTAATAATAGTTATTGACTTATCACATGGCACATTCTTTTGGCACTGAGTTGCAATTTGTAACTCTTTGCCTGTGACATGCATGTTTCCATCTCTGTGTGCAGCAGCAGCAGCAGCAGTAGCAGCTATTGCTATCTCTATCCGGGGGCAGAAAATTGCCAAATCAACAGGAAAATTGGATACAAAAACAAGCAAATGAAAGGAAACCCAAACAATGTACAAACTGCAGCATTTGCATTATGGCGGCAATTTGATTTCAATTTCGGAGCATTTGAATCTGTATCGCTTAGATACGTTGCATTTTAAGCCAACTGTTGTTTGCAGCCTGCAATTGCTACCCAATTGTGTTGCCATCTGTGTTTTATTGAGCCTTTTTTTCACATTTCGAGCGAACAGAAATTAACCTCTCAACTGCGCTTGGTTAATCTGCTCTTAAACGCTCAGAAAATAAGTTCCAGTATCAGACAGTAACATTTCTTCATTAATAAATAATATCGCTTACTGTTTATTTGCCTGACCCATTTTGCGTTCCGCCACAAACAGTACGTTCGAAATTATTTTTTTGCGTTAATAATGAGTTACAAGTTAAAAATTTACATTCGTACACACCTACCAAAAGTCAGAGCCCCACAGTCACGAGACACGCCCCAGAAAAAAAGGTTGCCAAGAACGTTCTGTGGCTGAAATTAAAATTTCATACATGGATAGCAGTTTGGCTTTATAAACCGAGCTTGTTTCAAGGCGTGACAGAATGTTTAATTCGATACACCGAAGGGAGAAGCCGAAATGGATTTCATTTAAAATAACACAATTTGGTTAGTCTGTTGGGCACTTTTTCACCAAGTTGCTTAACGTATTAAGCATTATAAAAAATGTACATGATGTTTGTTCAGAAGAATGTTTCAGGGGAAAACATAGCACTTCCGATCCTGTTCAAATATTATGATATTCTTTAACAAAGAACGCAACACATCATTCCACAGAGTTTAGTGATACCCCGCAGAACACGTATACATTTTTACTTTGGCAGTAATGTGTTCGGCAAAATAAAATTGGATTTAAACATAACTATGGTTAAATTCAAATAATATTATATAAATGTAAAAATCTTGACCAGAGCCTAAGCTTTTTCCATTCATTATTCGCCTGCAACTTTTGTTTTTTTTTTAAGCAAAACAAATTGACGCATGCGTAGGTATATTTTTCCATTGTTGATAAGGTTTTGAGGCTAATGTCGTCGTTTGTATGGGGCAAGACTCCGTTAGCCAAGGCAGCTGGAAGTTGGATGTTCATTGGCTCCACACCCAAGACTAACGAAAATGTGGCTACAACATTAGCTAGTAGCACTGCCACCTATTTTACAAACAATCGACGGCTGTGATGCACATGTGCGAAGCACATGCAGAGTTTAAGCAAACTTAACTTTATTTTTGTGCGCATCGCTGGTCATGCAACACAAACCAACGGATTTCCATTGTTTGGAACCATAATTTTTGCTACTTAAACAATAGGATACAAATGGTCTTTGGGGTCTAATGCACCTATTAATTGCTGCCAGCCATTCTAACAAAAACAGTCCGTATTCTAATATTAGTTTGGAAATTGACAGACCGAACACGTAGTTGAAGGGAAATCAGCTAGAAAAAGCTAAACCTTAATCACCTATAGTTTTTAAACTAGTTAAGCTACAAGAGCTATATGTTTTATTGAATGCTAACTACGAAGTCTTAACATAGTTGCTCGAAAGCAATAGTTTGAAAATTTTTTATTTAACATTTCTAGCAATTTTGTATTAAAACGGGCCACAAGATTTTTTTCTCTTTTATATATAGCCAATGATATAGCCCATATATAAACAGCTAACGCTGCCTGGGCATGATATTTCTCAAAAATAAAATATGCATCAAAAAATTGGTTTGTTCCAGGGTATTCGCATCTGCTACAGAAGCTTTTTGATAAACAGACCATGTTAAACCAAAGCACATTAAAATAAAGATTTCAAGATTAGTAATTTAAACAGTTTATATTCGATTCATTAATTCTAAATTTAAGGTCTTGAGTAGCTTCTATTTTTTCCGAAAAATTTTGTTTGTCTATAACCTAAAATATAAACCTTTTATTCTGTAACTTTAGGCTATGTCTGACGTGTTATGTTTAGATCATGGATTCCTATACTTAAGGCCATAAATGGTCTTTGCGCCCTTTTAAGGTCATCTTTCCTAAAATTATAGTCAATTTTCTCACTTTTTAGGTAATTTATTTTACTTTGGGTGTATAAACAGAATAAATTACACTATTTTAACCTAATAGAAATAGTATAATTAGCTCAATATTTAAATAGTGACTTAATTTTCGACCGGTAATGAATACGAAATAGTAAAGGTACCAAATCAAAAGCTGATGGGTGATTTCTTTTAGAATGACCATTTAATAAGTGATCTCGAAACCATGGGCACCGGATTAAACGTATTAGCTTTAGTTCTGGTGTTTTATATTGTCCCCGAACAAAGCTACAGTAAAAGTAATAATTTATGAAAATTTATATTATTATTATTATACTTTTCCCAGTAATCAAATAGTTGTGTTGCTTAGAATGCTTCCAGACTACCAACTTGTGTAATTGTAGTTTTAGTTCACGTTATTTAGGTTTAGGCATACCAATTTGGTTTCATTTTTTGTTGGCATTCCAACTAAATAATAATTGACTTATTTTCTGTTTCCTGCTAAATTATGTTTTGTAATTGAAAAATAATCACATTGATAACTGTCAAAATGACCAAATCGATTACGGACCTATAAAAATAATATATATAATTATTATGTTTCAATTGAATTGGTTTAGTGCAATGTTGTCTAAGCTAGTTACATGTCTTTTCTGCATCGCAGTCCTCATCTTCATTTCTGACTTAAATGTAAATTGTGGTAGAGTTAATGTTTTAATTAAGTATTAAAAATATTTCGCATATTACAGGATGCAGTCGTCTTCAAGTTTACAAATTTTGTCTGCAAAAGTCACAATCAATCGTGGTTTGTGTTCCATTATTGTCGTCTTAAGGCTATCAGTCGTGATAGGGTCCTCCTCAACGTGAACGGAACTGTTCTCTACCCGGCGTATGATATACAGGTTCATGCGAAGATTTTTAAAAAGGCAAGCGGATTTAAGCCTTGGTTACTGGACGCAAATATCGACGGCTGTCGGTATATGCGAAAAAACTACAATCCCTTTTTAGGCATAGTCTTCAGTCTGTTCCAAGATTTCTCCAATATAAACCACACATGCCCATATGTTGTAAGTATTAAAATGCGTTTAAATCCTCAATTTACATGTCACCATTACAGGGTCTACAAACTGTGAAGGATTTTTATCTGAGGCCAGATAGATTGAAGTTGCCGTTTCCATCCGGAGAGTACATGTTATCTCTACAGTGGTTCTTTGACAAGAAACCTCAATTCGATACAAACGTTACATTTACTTATATGGAGGACCTGCTTAAGAGAAATTAACATAGGTTTTTTTCACAAATAAAAAAATTATTTTGAATTTAAATGTTATAGAAAAATAACACAGTTAACTTGTATCTTTACATCCGTTACAAGTAAAGTAAAGGGTTATATTGTATTCGTTGAACTTTAAGTAGCAGGTCGAGGGAAGCGTTTCTGATCCTGTAAACATTTTTTATTAATGATCAGGATCAACAGACGAGTCGATAAAGCCATGTCCGTCAGTCTCTTCGTCCGTTTGAGCGTCGTGAATCACACAAACAGAGTCCAACACCTAGGATCTAACATGTCTTAGAGTGCCGTGACAGAGGTGTTTAGTGGCTGTGTTTTGAAATAAAATTGCGCTGCCTAGAAAACACTAGAATCGGCATGCCAAAACCCAAATCCCTTTCTCGAAATCTCGACGTTCATACAGACGGACATGACAAGATCGACTCGGCTATTGAACCTGATCAAGAATATATGAAATTTATATGTTCGGAAACGCTTCCTTCCATCTGTAACATAATTTTCAATTTTACTCTGCGAGTAACGAGTATAAAAAGTTATTTATTTGGGTTAAAAGTGTTTATTTTTATAACGTAACATCCGTTTTAATTATTTTATTCATGGTTTTTATAGTGCACAGCACTTGTGTAATGCCTTTGGCGCCGGATGTCGGTCACCACTTTTTCTTTGACAAAAAAGTACAGAAAGGAAGCGATATTAACAAACCGATGTTTTTATACGCTGTCTTTTAACGAAAAACTAACTTTGGAAGATAGTTTATTGCGCAGTTATAGAATATAGTCGTTTGACTGTTACACCATTAATATGTCTTCCAATAAGTTGAAAACTTATAACCACAAAGTTATACAATATCAGATCATCTCCTTACAGAAAACACAAATCGATTATCATAATTTGATGTTTATAATTTTTAAATTGAGTGCTTAAATTAAGAAAAATATTCTAGGCGATATTTAACCGAATCATTTCTTCAATTTGCTACAAACATCTACTCGAAATTAAAACACCCATCGAAAGTGTATTGAAATTAAAGTATAAATTTTGTGCTTTTGGGTTTCGTCATAACTGAACTAATATGCGGTTGTTCAAAACAAAAAAAAAATGAACGTAACATAGCAAGTGAATTTTTTTCAAGATACTTGATTTTATGTCGGTCGATTGTAATAATGATTTCCGTACACTTTTTATAACATGTTGAAAAGAGCATAGCTTACCGATTTGGTCTAATTTATTTATTGTCACTGTTTAGAGTAAGATCTGCAAAGAGAAGAAAAGAACAAATAAATATTTAGTATTTTTAAATGCCCAAGCTTGTTTATTGAATAGTTTTAAGAACGCCTAGCCAAATTACTGAGATTTTTTTAACAAATGCCTTTAAAACCAGGTCTCAAAGGTGCCTAAAGAGGCGTTAATGAAATTCCTATTGATAGTCATATACCAGCACAAGCAACCGCAAGCAAACCGCAATCGAAAGATAAACAAAACCAACTGCTCGCCCCAAAAGAATATATCCAACTTCTGAGGCAAGCTACCAATTTTAGGCATTTGAAATGGACATAGGGGAAGAAGCCCAAAGCGATGGTATGAAAAACAAGAATCCGACGAGCGGCCAGTTACTGATTTAGATTTAGATTCAGATACATTTGAGTGATCTCTTTGGCGTCTAACGTAAGCGAGAATTCTCGAGGTCAGCCACTTTTGTTATGAGGCGGCTAGCTATCCCCTCCCCCAGCATATATGTGTATAGAGATATGTATGTTCTCCATTCTTGGACCCTGTAGACCAACATTTACTCTCATCTAAGACCCGGCTCTGTCCGGTTTTTCTTTTTGCCCGCAGTGCATTTGTATCTCTGTGGATTTGGATGTGGATGTGGCTGCTGCTGCTGCTGCTGCTGCTGCTGCTGGTGTGTGGTTTTACTTAATTTACTTTACTGTTATGTTGTTGCTTTCCGCTTGTTAGGCAAGCCAAGCAATTCAAGGCAGCGATGCAGTCGCTCCACCGACGTATGTATCTGTCAGATACTTTTCGGCTGGTTCTGAGTAAGCCACCATCGTGTCGTCATACACTTGAACTTTCTTGGGTGTGCAACGGTGGCGTGGGCCCAACATCATTTCATAACCAATCCGATAATATTAACAAAACTAAAAATAAAGCAACAGCGAAATGTCAAAGTTTAATGCCAAACCACTTGTTGCAGTTCTCTCGTATTTCTAGTTATTACTACACTACATTGTGGTCAAGTTGTGCAAGGTGTTGTGGGTTCCATGATTATGCAAACACTTTTAATGCTCATTTGGCATTGCCAACTCAAATCAATAACGATTTTTGTAAACGTTTATTGGTCTATATGGACTATATGGCTTTGATTTTTATTGGAGAGTTTCAGATATAGTTATCAGCATGACCATAAACAAAGAAGTCTCTTTGTGTTCCATTGACACAGTTTGCATTTTATGAACGTTTACTGCGCTTTTTGTGCCATAAAAGTAAGCGATTGGGCCTGATTCCCGACCTCCTGATGGAGGCCTCGGCGAATAGTGGTGACCCAAATACGCGTAAGCCTTGGTAATGGCTAATAATGTTGCTCTGGATGAAGTTGAGAATCACCTATTTCGGTTGCATCAAAGAAGATGTTATAAAAAAAAAAGAGGCATTACTTATTAATATAAATAACAAATTCTGAAACTTCCCAGGATCCAAAGTTCCATACAAGTTTAAAAAAATTGATGGAATTTAATGGAGGGTAAGCGGATGCTTCTTTTAAAAACTTTAACATGCTGGAATAGCCCTGTTTGCTTTCTGGAGGGATAAGGTACTGAACAGGGGACTTAAGTAAACTTCGCTAGGGCTGAGACAAAAGGCGTGAAGTCTAAACCGATGATAAGTGTCTATAATGTCTATGAATATCCGGCTGCTGGCAGACACGAAGAGCTCACCGCAGCCCAAAGTAGTAGACAAACAATGTCTTCCAAAGGATCCGCTCATGTAAGAGGGGAGGTGGGCCCAGTGGAAGTAAAAAAAAAAAGGGTAAGGAACCATAATGACAACATGTCATGCAAAGTTTTGTCAAAGCCCAGACAGGCAAACAATGTTCGTGTTGTTGGATGCCAGCGAGGATGTGGATGATGGCGAAGATGAGGATGAGGATAAGCTCGCCCTCGCAGACACAAGTAGCCAATGCGACTGGATGCGGGCCTTAATCAACCCACGGAGTTGGGGTGACTTTTGTCATAATTTTGCGTTTTTTACATTTTTGTTTAGCACGTTATATGAATAACTAATTGAGGGCCGTACACCGCAACACGTACGGGAGGTATTTGAGGCAGGAATGTGGCCATGCACTAAGAGAAACATTTACCTTATTCGATGTTGTGTAGATGTTATGTTTAATATCGGTTTGTATAAAAGATTAAGATTAAATAGTCAGAAGTATATCCGTTGGAATATACCCAACATATAAAATTTAAACATGCATTTTATGGAATCGAAAATGCTTGCATCTCCCTGGAAAGTTATCCACAATAACTGAGTATTGTACAGATAAAGATCACCAATCTGTCAGCTTTTTAAATGATTCCACATAACTACTCCGTTCTAAAGACCTTTTTCCAGTGCAAGGTATCCATTAGATACATCTCCAGTTGAAGGCGGTTGTTCGTTGCGGAGTCGACAAACCATGACTGGGCATAACAACCAGCAGCACACTGCCGACAACCAACTACACTTTTAAATCTCGGATCCACCGAGAAGTGGAGTAGGACAGCAGCAGCAGCAGCAGCAGAAGCATCGCGCCAACTCAGCGTTCGATCTTCTGTTCTTGGCTCTTTGGGCTAAACTGGTAGCACAATTCCTTCTTTCTTTTTGTTTTGCTTGGCTTTTTTTTGCCAGTCCGAGGCTGAGTCATCCTCAAGTCGGCAGTCGGCTGCCTGTGTTTTGCATTAGGCCAAGTTCGATGACTAAGCAGACTTGATTTCAGGTGCTCCCTTCGCGGCCGGCCGGCATAACTTCAATGTGACCGCATCCCCAGCTTGATTGCTGGCTGCCAGACCGAGCAGATGTTGTCATGTCCATGTGGTCATGGCTCTCCGCTAGTGAGTGTCGGGGCACTTGAACTTGGTCGGAGGTTCAGCCCGCGTTTGGGTCAATGAATTCGCCAGAAAGTTGTGATTTCAACGCTTTACAAATTTAGGATTTACAAAGTTGGGCAATAAAACAACTCCCTAGGAAATCATTGCCTTAAAATTAGTTCTAGGCTCAAATTTAAGGCAATTATTTCTAATTTAAAGTCAATTTCGTCAATTAAGCAGATAAACTTCAACTTAACGTTTAATAGTAATTAAGTCGTGAAATACATATGGTTGTTGCAAAACTTTTAAATAGGAATTCCAATTTTAATACCACATTTTGTAAAGATTTTAGTACACTGTAATGCTTTTTTCTGTTTTCTGATGATTGCTTTGCAGTATAATTTTGAGTACTCTCTGTTGCAAAATCAATTGCAATAATTAACTAATAAAAAAAAAAAAAACAAGCCGAAAATATTTTCGATAAAAGAAGGTATTTATTGAAAGTTGCATCTATGTAGATTGCGTAGAAAAGGGCGGAGGGACGGAAGCTGATCAAGAACATATAAACCTCATAGGGTAGAAAATGTTTCCTTCACTGCGCTGCAAACTTTTGACTGAAATAATAATGACCTCTGCAAGGTTATAAAAGTGCGAAGTGTTTACATAAACATTTCTTAAGACCAATGAGTATAAACAAGAATTCGTGTATGAACTGTTTATATTCAAGCACAAACAAAAAAACTTATGGGTAACAAAAAAAAAAAAAGAAAATGCATCACAGTCTGAACACATTTGCTTACTGCTAACTGCCGATTTTTGTAATTGCGAGTGATATCCTCTGCGAAACGGCGATGCCGTATTGCCTATAATTCAAGCTAGTTTTCTCAATTTGCACGGCCACTTCCCCCAGTTCCAGTTTTTCAATTGCAATCAATACTTAGTTTCCATTTCATTCGCATTCAAAGTTCAGCGTCTCCCCCTTTTACACAAACATCGGTACACAGATACAGCACACTCACAATTACAAATAGAGTTCAATGA